ATCAGCTTTCTGCAAGATGAAAAATATAATAAGATGAATACTGCTTTCTCTTCATTGCATCAGATGTGAGGCCGTCACCAGTTATATTTCAAGTACAGACAGCCTGCTTAGTTAACACGATCAGCATAACACTTAGTTAATTTAAGTTTTCAATAGGGACATAAGTTTGTACTTTATGTCTTTCTTCGAATTGGCTTTACAGGTAAAGATATTATTATCTTATTAAAGAAGTGTCTTAAGACTCCTTTGTGCGTCAGTGCATGAACGTCTGTGTGTAATGTGACAGAGCCCCGCTTAACTGCTCCCCAGAGACAGGCTTGAAACTGAAGCTAAGAATAGCCCTGGCTGCATTAGCTCTTGTAAAGGGGGAGATAAGGGTGAGTTGGAAGGAGAGGAAAGAGTCAAGGGGGCAAGTGACACTGTGCCGCATGGGAGATGACAAGTAGACACGGGAGCCTTAGTCCATTGCAGGACAGCTCTTTTACCTGGCACAGATAGTATATACACATGACTTAACCAGTGACCCTTCCAACCTCTCAGAGACAAGAATGCATGCATATGGGCACAAACACATGCAAACACACACATTTTGAAGGTTTTTGGGCACCTTACATGTCAGACATGCTTAGCTTTTGTTTTTTGGAAATTAAATTGTAATTTTTAGCATTTTATTGCTTGAGGAACAGGAAGTGGTGTTTAAGATGCCCAAATAACGTTAGGTTTGATGGCATGGCGGGTAGCAGGTAGGTGGAGATACATGAAGGAATATAGTGGCCAGATGTTAAGGAATAAGTTCTTCATTTTAGAATTGTAGTGATCCAGTATTATTAGCACTTTTTAAAAGACAGATGAAAGCTGCATTACTACTTGATCACTGCTGTAATTCCAACATGTGCTTCTTTAACAGACCAACAGGGCTCTTTTTGCTTGTTTGTTTTTTTTTTTCATTTTTTACAAGTGTCTGGCTTTGAGGATAGATGGATGGGCACACAGACACACACAGAGGAACGACAAAAACAACATATCTCTGGGTGCCATACGGTGTGATCTGTACTACTCGCATGTCACACTGACACATATGCACTCACAGTCTTCTCAGATGTCAGGTGAGAGGTTGTGACCCTGCACTAACAGCTCTGTTTCCTTTACCACTGAATATGAGAACCTCCTCCAGGATCTCTGAATGGTTCAAAAAAGGAAACGCTGCACTGAGTGACCTGTCAAAATAGGTACACGGCAGCACGCCAAGGAATAAATGCATATGTGTACAGTTCTGTGTGTCTGTGTTGACATTAAGAAAATGGAGACATGAATAGCTATATTCATCCCGGCAAAACAGCTACTCCTGGCGATGGTGCTACAGCAGTATTGGTAGTGATGTCTGATAATCACCTGTCATTTGAGATAATTGGGTAATTGGGGTAATGGACTTCACTGTGGTCCACTCTGGGCTCATCATTTCAAACAGGTATGGAAGGTTATATTTATACCATCTACACTAGCTGCCTAGGCATACAAAAGGATGAGCCAGAGGTAATTAGTGCCTGCCTCTGTTTTCATTTTACAGACCAGAGAATGACCACTGAGACAGAAGAAAAGGATTTGAGAGAAAAGGAGAACAAATAAAGAATGAGCTAAATACAATAAGCAGAATAAGAGCTAAATAACATAAATAAATAAATAAAGCCAACGAAATGCTTTGCCAGGTGTTTAATTGGGACTCGGGGTTATTTAGTGTATGACACAGGGAAAGACAGAACGCATTACCATAGCAGTCTAACATTATGGTCCCGCTGCTATTACAGATTTAATGACACGCTGTGTGGTAGCCAACTACATTTAACCCTCTCATCTGCATAATAGTGCTGCCCTTACAACACTCACAGCGGAGTAATACCTCATTGTAATTAATCTCCCTCCCTTTATCTCTCCCTTGCACCCATTCATGTACACACACTCACACATTTACGCACAAGAGAAATTGACCATTAGCGCACATTTTGCAAAAACGAAAGCACTATAAAGTTTATTCTGCAAATTTGTCCATGTAAAATATTATCAAGCTAAACAAATGTATCCCTCTGACATTACATACGACGGGTTATTATGTGGGCTGTTAAAATCATGGCCGTGTGGGAATTTACTCTATTATCTGTAACTAAAGGTGACAAAGCATGTATAGTTGTTGGGTTGGATGCAGAAAAAATGTATTATAGAAAAAAATATTTTATTTGCAATCTCAACATTGGTGATGTAAATGAGGCAAGCAGCCCGGGTGAATGAACTTTGAGTCCATAGTCTTTGAAACTTTCTATCGTTGCCTAGATAGGTGTCAGGCACAAGTGACAGCAAAGCCAGTAACCAGTGAGCAGCAGTTAAAAACTGGAAAGACTGAATGAATCGTATAAAACGACACTTTTCGCCGAGAATGCTTTGCCATTTATCAAATTTATTGAGACGTTTATTTCTTCTCTTTCTCTTAATAACACTCAGCCACGCACACATGCCTACATACTTATATACTGTAGGGAGCAGGAATCTGAACCACCATAAAATTCATAGCAGGTTGAATGTGACCTCCATTTCTTGCGTGAAATATATTCTCTGCTTATTCCTTCACATATTTCAACTTTAAGCATGGCCAAAAGAACCATAAAAAGGCAGTGAGTGCAGTCATCTATCACTTGCAGAAGGCTACCGAACATTGTCTGTTCTGATGATAGCAGTGCCCTTCATGCTTGCCAAAACTGGTGCCTTGGTACCTCCTTATTATGCAGACACTGGATGTGATTGTAAGCATTTGGTGTTCAGATAAGGGTTAAGGTGGGCATTTGCTGATCCTAAGGACGATTTTGGATGTAAATCCTTTAACTAAATAAATAAGGCAACTTTATGCCTTTCAATATATAGAGATATTTGCAAATTTCTTTAGCACATGCAGAAATATTAATCCATCAGCCATTTGTGTGTTTTGTGTTGGTTGGCCCTCATGTTGGAATGCAGGAATGTGCCTGCCATGAAGCAACATGACAACCGACATGCACATGGATTTCAGAAAGACATCAAAGACTGAGCCATATGGGTAGGGTTACCAAAACCACAGGAAGGAAGACGGCAGGAAGGAAGCCGAAATGAAAGAAAGCACATAAATATATATATAAAAAACACAATTCATTTTACAATCTAATATAAATAATAATCATAATAGACTACCATGTGCCTGGTGATGATTAAGGAAAGTAATTAGCTTGCAATGAATGTAGAATGAGCTCATTAAGACAAATGCAGGGAGACTGAGGCTTATCACAGTCAAATACACACTGGCAGCTTCTCCTTTATGAAAGCACTGAATCATCCGTCTTACAAATCTGTTTAAAAAACCAGGAAGCTGTGTGGCGACCTGCTGTGATCACCAGGCCATGACAGCAGTGTTTTGAATGATGAAGTAATGCATGGGTTGAAGAGCAATGGATGTCATTTTTCATTTACATATCTACACAAAAGGCCTGCAAACTGGACCATTTCTCCTTTGATTGCTGTTATTTTCTGAGCCATCTGAATGAATGGCAGTTCACCGAGAAAAGGAATTTCCCTCAGTATCAGCATGGCCCACCATTTATCTGTACAAGTAAAGCTGATTAATACTGAGAATGCCAATATTCACTTCTTACACTCTACTACAGTGCTGTACCAGCACCAAGCGTTGTTGGCAATTGTAAAGAAAAAAGTGTCACATCAAATATATGTCCATTTAATATTGCACTCTGCGTGCAGTAAGGTTACTGCAATATACCTACTGAGATTGTCTGATTTTTGTTATTATTAAGCATGTGGTCTCTCATTTTATTGCTTTTTCTGGAAGTGAACTTTGCCCAGCTTTGGTCTTATGTAATCTTATTGTGAATTTGGCTCGGCACCTGGCAGCTTAAATCAAATTCCCCTTGGTCTCAATAAAACAGTTCTGCTTGGAACTTATCCACTGTGAGACAGAAAGGAACATTGTGCGTGCTATTGCAACAGAACAACTGATTCTGCGAAAAGGCCAGTGTGCCAGTGGAAACCAAGGTAAGCATGCAGAAGTTCTTGCATAAATGTTTTGACTTTAAGTAAACAGACTCTCCAAATTCCTTCAATAGAGACATGAAAATCGAGGTGTGAGTACTCTTGATTGTGCTTAGCAGTACCAAGTGGAAATCCACGGCGCTACAGCTGTTATGGTGACAAACATTTTATTTAAGCTTTTGATCTCCCATCACTGGCAGCTCAACACCATTCACACCTCTGGAAAATACTTAGATCATTCCATGCATGCACATACACGCATACCTTGTTTGCTAATGTGTTAAAAAGGGCAATGATACTTTTCCACTGCAAAGGTCCTTACTCTTCCTACTCTTCCACTAAAATTTGGGCTCTGCAATTTTTTTTCTTTAGCTCAATGTAATTTGTAGTTCAGTGCAGGTGGAAATTGTAATAATTAAACATAACATATAACTAGAGCAGTACAGCAAACATCAAGATCAGTGAGTACAATGCATTTAGAACTATAATGATATCGATGGATGTTTATTTTTTCTTAAATTAATGACAATAAATTTTAAATAAATCAGAGTAAGTGTAACAAAAAAGAATAAACAATAAAAATAACAATTAAGCACATGTAATATATGAAATTAAGTCCAAATAGCTGTAAAGCACTGATATACTGAAACAATTCAAACCATGTTTAAGGTGTGCACAAGTCTGTTATCAGGTTTGGTGACTTTTCACATAAAAGCTGAACCAACTTAAGCACATATCAACTGTGTATGACTCAAAATCAATCACAGAGAAAATCCAAAAATAAAATTTAATTTTTAAAAAACAAATAACAAAACAATTAAAAAGCAGTTTTGCACACGCTTAGCTCTGTCACTGAGTAAGCAAGACAAGCTTCAACGTGATTTTTTTAACCTGTTGTTACTGGTTTTTCTGCTTAACAAGTCCAACAAATGTCTTACCATAGAGTAGATCGAAGGCAGAGTCAAAGAGGAGCATTGCAAGGTGTTTGGTGTCAGCTGTTAAATCCTTGGTGGCATAATGTCATGTGCTTTGACTGATAAAGGAGGAGATGCCATTACATGCCACCAGGCAGAAGAGGTATGCTACAGTAATTCCCTCAAAGTATCCACTTTTCTCTTTCACCTCTCCCTTGCTCTGCTGCCTCCTCTCCCTTTCCTCACATTAACACATGATAGCTGTGACCACTTATCAGGTATCCTACCTAGTCTCTAAAATCAAAATGTTTAAAAACTCTCACGGTTTTCTTATGTACTCTTTTCTTTCCTTCTTTTTAGGGGGTCCCAGCGTTATTTTTCAAGCGTTTTACAACTGTCAGACAAAAACATCAAAATTACCTTTACTTCTGTGTCTGTATGTGTGTGGGGGACAAACTGACACTCATGGCTTAACCGCTTAACCGCTCTATGCTGGCTGGCATTTTGTCCATGACTCCTAACCCTGTCTAACAGTAATGTAATAGACACATATCAAACATACTTCTGTAGATTAAATTAAATATAACCTGGCTGAAAAGAAATGAGAGTAGACATCTGCGCATCCTTTTCTTACAGTCAATATCTATTACATCAGGAAAATATTTTCCAAATGAATTCAGGGCAGGTCATGTGGCTTGACAGCAAAACAAGGATAAAGTAAAGATATGTGACCAATTGGAAAACCAGATTAAAAGGCTAAAGGTCAATGAGGTGTGGCATCAAACTGCACTGAGAGCCATATCGATTTCATGGATATGTACACTGTGGCCCCTGGGATCTGTGGATGCCAGCAGCAATATGAGACACACACACAAGCAAGTGTGCACACACATGAGGGTGCAAACTCACATAGTCATATATAAGCGCAACTAGTTAGGAAGATTTTCTGTTCTGGTGTTACATACACAAACAGCTATACTGACACAGTGCAATTCCTAATACAATAAGCTTCATGCTGATATAGACATTCGATTTAGATTGCCATGCCATTAATCACATATGATGAACTGTATAACAAATGTTTTCTCCGGCTCTCTACCTACACAGCATCTAGAATTTCAAATATGAAACATGAGTAAAGTAGATTCAGACATAGTAATGGTCTAAAAATTTATTGACAGTAGCCATTCAATCAAAATTACAGAACCCATGGACTAAATCTTTATTACAACTTGGAATATCAGCTATGCAAATATAGTCAACAAGGGAAATTATTACAGATTTTTTTTTTGTTAATATTCTAAAACTATAAAATGTTCAGTGTTACATTTATTGCTGTCTACACAACAACTAAACAACTTGGTAAAGTTGTACCTATTGGCACTTTTACTAGGAGTGCATCACAAAAACACATAATTTGTTCTCATTTCTTTAATAGAACCTATGAAAAATACCAAAGATAAGAGACTCTGACGGGCATAAAATATGTATTTTTGCACCAACAATGTGATTCCCAAAGAGCTATTTGCCAAAAACATGCCATATTTCAGTATGCTGTTTAGTGAGTCCTTCTGAAGAAATTGGAAGCAGAGGACAAAAGAAGAAAAGACAGGCCTAAACAAAACTTTCAACCTAAGGTGAATCTTCTGAAAGTCATATCCTTAAGAAATGGGAAAAAATCCAGCAAAGAACTTACA